TGAATTTGGAGCACAAAACCCTGATGTTTCCTAATACAAATGATGGATGTAGATCCTGGAAAGTCACAGGATTCCTTTACCCAAAGCACAATTAATTGAGGGATATTGCATTGCTGGCCACCAATTTTGGAGGAATGCTTTAAAAGGAAATTGGCTTAATATATTAAAGAGAAATTTATTATACTGAATCAGATCAATGCAAGCTCATTTGAGAGGTACCCAAAACTGCAAACCCAAGTCTACTAAATGTCAGTTCCTGCCTTCAGCAGTCAGGAATGGTCAACTTTTATTCTAGCAGAGTTTTAATATTTTTAACTGCAGCTGGGCACACAGAAATGTAGCCGGTCAGCCTTTCCAATCGAAGCTTATCTTCACAGGCTGTCATTCAAGAAAGAGGTGCCCTTGCAGGGAAAAAAAAAGGCAATCCTTATCAATAGCTGCCAGCAGTTATTTCTAAATCCTATTTTCCTTCTTCCAAAGTGGTACAAGTTTCATTCCCAGCTGGAGAACACATGGAAGACAGAAACAGGAAGAGGGAAAGCACAGTGTGGTCTTCCAAATACAGATGCTTCCAGTTGTGACCCTGGGTAAAAACCCTTCTCTGATGCACAGAGCTTTCCCAAAGGTGTCCATCTTTTGGCTGTTCACTTTAACCACGAGAGAAGTGTTGTCCAAACTTGGCCACTTTAAGATGAGTGGACTTCAACTCCTAGATGGCTGGCTGGGGAATTCTGGGAGTTGAAGTCCACTCATCTTAAAGTGGCCAAGTTTGGACAACACTGCACTAAAGGATGCGGCGTTGGGGATGGTGATTCCAAAATGCATGAGAGAAAGTGCCTCTGCTCATTTGATTTAAGTAAAGCAATGTCACATTTAAGTCTTAAACTAGTCTGCCATGCCAAGGATGTTGCTCTTCAAGATGGAAATGCCTAGCAGAAACCACTTGTAGCAAATGTGTTGCCAAATACAATAAACAGCTTCAACAGGACAAAAAGAATGTTCTGGCATCCTTTTATTAGATCTTTGTATGGACTTCACCATTTGTTCACTGTTCATCAGCTGACATCTTCTCCTAGAAGGCAATAAGTGGCCTGAATAGATCAGAATGACCAAATCCTTGGTTTAAATCTATGCGTAGCCAGCTGCCTGGATTGCTGAGAGGATTTTTAAAAAGGGAGGGTAGGGAGGAATACATGTTCTCCTGGATGCCTAAAACAAAATGTGGAGAAAACTGAATAATGAACTGGAAGAATGGGAACAAACCAAGAAGCAGCATTTTCAAGAGCAAAAACTGCAGTGTAGAAAAAGCAGATAGAGGGGAATCTGAGTATTGCCAGATAGATCAGGGTTTCTCCAATCTTTTGAGGCTAATGGGCATGTTCAGAATCTGGAGAACATGCTACAGGCAACAGCCCTTCGAACAGTCGCTCACGCCCTTGTTATCTCCTAGATAGACTACTGCAATGCGCTCTACATGGGGCTGCCCTTGAAGAGTATCCAGAAGCTACAGCTGGGCCAGGATGCGG